ACATTGCCGAGGAATGCAAACCGACTAACTTCTTTGGAGGGCGATTTAGCAATATTTATCTACATTATAAATGTAGATCCTCTCTGTGTATGTGCATAAAATATGCATATAGTAATTTACATTTCTCTAAATCTGAACAGGGAGAGAGATAATCTAGATCAGTGGTGTTCAACTTCCTAATGCCGCGACCCTTTAATGCAGTTCCTCATGTTGTGGTGACCACCCCAGCCATAAAATTATTTCCGTTGCTACTTCATCACTGTCATTTTGCTACTGTTATGAATTGGGCGACCCTTGTGAAAGAGGTTGCAACCCACAGGTTGACAACCACTGATCCAGATGTCCCCCAATAGAAAACAAGACAGATCTCCTATGGGATAAGCTTATAACAGAGGGTTAACACCCAGTGCCACCAAGGCCCAACTCACAGCAGTCTGGGTGTGTCGAGGACACCTGGGACCCAGAGTTGCCAGTGGCTCGTTTTTTGGAAGTCTGTCACCAAGCCTTCTGTCCAAGATGGACCCCAAACAACAAACCTTTCGGTTACCAACTGAGGGTGTTAACTGTTTACACACCCAGGGATGGCAATGAATAGGCCCCTGCTGCTGCTGCTAGGTGCTATGGAGTCAGTTTTGGCTCCGAGACCATATGCATGAGAGAAGGGAACACTGCCGGGTCCTATGCCACCCTCGCAACTGTCCCTGTGCTGCTTAAGACCATGGCTGCAGCCGCGGTGTCCGTCTGCCTCGCCAAGGGCCTTCCTGTCTTCTGCTGTCCCTCCATCTTACCAAGTATGAATGGGCTCTCCGACAAATTGTACAAAGTACTTGAGACAAAGTCTCACCATTCTTGCCTCTAAGGAACATTTTGACTACGTCTTGCAAGACAGATGTTTGTTCTTTTGGCAGTCCATGGTACTTTCAATATCCTTTGCCAGCACCAAATCTCAAACGCATCAATTCTTCTTTGGTCTTCTAAATGAGGTGAGTGGAAATACCACCGCTTGGGTCAGGTGCTCCTTAGTCTTCTAAGTAACAGCCTTGCCTTTCAACTCTTCCCTGACCTCTCGGAGAATGTATTCCAGAACACAGAGCAGCATCAGCAGCCCCCATCACTGGCGCTCAGTAGCTACTGTAGTCCATTAAAAAGCACTTATCATCCTCATCATCATCGAGAGAAAATCGATGTAAACTGTTTTAGAGCTGGCCTATTGGATTCAGCACAGGCACAGCCTCCAGGGAGTTGGAGAGTTGAACGGGGCCTGCGACACACACCTTCACTAACAACGCTGTGCATGCCGCCGGATCCAGAGGTCGGTCTCATCACAGAAAAGCAGCCACCTGAAGACGACACTAAGTCTCTAGGTTCATCCATTCCAGCAGTCTGCAGGGCCACAAGCCGAGTGAAATCAAAGGGCTTGCCGTCGGGAAGGGGCAGAGAAAGGCCCTTTGTGAGCCGAGGCACTGAGGCCAGGCCTGTGTGCACTCCTGGCAGAGCACAACTGCTGCTCTTCGGTGTCCCGGTTCCGAGGGGCCAACTCCGCAGGGCAGCGGACATCCTCCCCCAAGCAGGAGTCCTGCCCGGTGAGTCAGAGTGCGGTAAAGAACGTTTAGCCAGGCTTGCTGGAGGCGCTGTGAATGCGTGTTCAGGGACGGGATGCATACTGGCCCTTGCCTGTACCCTGAGTCACACAAAGATACACAATCTTGGCTGCCACCTACCTTGATTCTTGTCATCCGGGTCAGGATCTGGTTTCAGTCTTTTCGCACTGTTGCCACTCTCTGAGCTGTAACAACAAACAAATGAAGCCAAATCACAATCACTCAAGTACAGAACCAGGCCCTGGCCTGAGCACTTCCATGGGCCTCCCACCAGCTCAGGAAGCTGGTGAGGGGACAGTCCTCCGTTCCACCTCACAGTCTCTTTCCACTTTGAATTCTAGTTGCAAACACAACTGAACCACGGACCAATCTGAGGGACGGAGCAGCAGTTCTTTACACATCACCTAAAGTTTCTGATTCCTTGTTTCTTTCTTTAGCTTGAGAGGAGCCCTGCTGGCACAGTGGTCAAGGCACTTGGCTGCTAACAGAAAGGCTGCGGTGTGACCCTAGCGGCTACAACGCAGAAGAAACGGGGCTGGTCTGATGAAAGCACACAAGCATCCGACTGTAACCTTGGAAACCCTGTGGGTGGTCCTGCAATGGTCATTGTCATCCAGTGCTGAAGGTCAGGGGCAAGTGTTTAGGGGCTTGCTTTATTATCCTTCAGAACGCACACAGATAGTGGCTTCCAAAGTGTCACCTGGCATCAGGATCACACGTAGAACACTGAAGAGTAAACTCCCAGATGGCACTCTAAGTTTACTGAGCTAGAGTGGGCGGAGCCTGGGATTCCTCATTAATAACCAACTCTCAGAGGTCAGGTAGAGTTCAAGTTCCCATCTCAGCCAACCTACCACCTTGTCCCATAAGAAAACCACTGCTGGGGGCTCGATTCCCACTTACAGCTACCCCACAGGGCAGAGGGTCCCAAGACTGTCAGTCTTCATGGGGCAGACTACTGGAAGCCGGGGACTAACCTATGGTCCCACCTGCGTTACACGACAGCCCTGCATTACATGAAGGTGCTTCAAAAGGGGCTGTGATTCTTCTTGCTAATGTGTAGAACGCACTGGGACGTGGATTGATGCAGGTGCAGTTAGGTTAACATGTATTGCCCTATCATTTGATCTCTCTTCTGATCCATTTAAATTTGTTCTGGTTTTTCAATTTTTCTGCTTTCTTTTGGACTGAGGATTTTTATCTGTTTAACTTTGTTATGCTCGTGAGTTTTGTTTGTTTTTAAGGTTTTTCTGTATATGAAACCCAGGCTAGGTGCATCCAGAGACAGTCACTGGGTTAATGTCTCCTTTGGGTATGGCAGGGCAGGTTGGGGAAATGGGGAGCTAACAGTGATGAGTACACGAATGAAGAAAATGTTCTAAGACTGAGTGTGGTGATGATTACAATTCTTGATGTGACTGAACTATTAAATTGTATGATACGTGAATTATATGCCAATAAAACTGTTGGAGGAAAAGTTCATGGAAAACAATGGAATTAAAAGACAATGAAATTTTTCTACAAAGGTTTGAAACCCTCACACAGTTCACCTAGGGAGCCACGGGGAAACAGCCAACACTGAGCTCCTCCTCAGGGGCCTCTGAGGACCAGGCAAAGGAGCCGCTGGCTCCTACTCTGCTGCTGGCAAGAGTCCTGCCTCGGTGAGAAGCCCTGCTTGGGCCCGGTCTAGCCAGACTGGCCCGGGCTACACCCTCAGAGACACTCAGACTGGGCCTGAAAGCTTAAGTAAGAAACGGAGAAGAATGATTCCTAGCTCGGGTACTGGACTCCTTTTAGGCTGCTGTACCATGAAGACATTTCTACTTGCAGACAACGTTCCTGGGAACAGCTGCAGCTGATGGATGGTGTGCCAATCCACAGGACTGGACCACTATGCTTCCTTCAAAACACCTGGCTGGTCGCCAGTCTGCCATATTGAATTTCCTAATAGACTGCACTTAAACATGACATCACTTCGTCATGGGCTGGTGGGACAAAATGGAAGTGAGAAGAAGACACCCTTTTAGGACTTGTCGAGGGAGGAACAGACATTACAAAGAACTGACAAACCTCCAGGCAGTGCTGCCAGTGCCACGTCTAGGTCTGTGACCTGGCACAGCTGTCCCCGTCTGGGGTCTTCTTTCTCTCTCTCTGTCTACCTCTGCTCTATCACCTTTTCTAAGGCTTTCCCCAACTTCCCCAACACACACAAACACAAACACAAACTCTCTCTCTCTCTCTCGGCAGTTACTTGCCAGTTACATGCTTCCTCCTTCTTGCTCTTTATAAAATAAAAATTTCAAAACAAAAAACCAACTCCCTTACCATTGAGCTGATTCTGACTCACAGCAATCCTACATAGGGTTGTCAAAGCTTTATAAAACTTTACTGGAACAGACAGCTGTTCTTTTTCAACCAGCTGGTGGGTTTGAACCAACAACCTTGCAGTTAGCCATCCAACACTTATCTGGCAGCGCCACTGGGGCTGTCATTAGACCCCGTCTTGCTCTCATTAGACCCTGTGCAAGCCCTTTTACAGAACCTGCAATCTTATTTGCCTAGAAACATAGTTAATTCTCAAATACTGGATCCCAGGGCTCCCATAACTATGTGAGCTTGGACAAAGGTTCTCAACCTTTCAAATCCTCAGACTCATCTGTGAAGCAGGGATTATTAAAACAAAAAAGTGTATGTTTTAGTGGTTGTGACAAATACATGCGATTGTGTATGGAAAGCCCTTAAGTGGCACATGGAAAGTATCTTACAAAGGGTATCCGCATTGTATTTGTTGAATAGGGTCCAAGAGACAAGGGCCACAGGCTACAGGAGACATCAAACCTGGGAGGAGGTAAGTGAAGTGTTCAGAAAGCCAGAGAGATCTGGCTGGGCATCCCTGTGCCCTGGCTGCACTAGAGGCAGCGTCTCAGAGGGGTCAGGGTGAGAGGAAAGCTGTGTGCCTGATGGCTGACCTCTTATGCTTCACAGCCCCAGCCAACAGCTTCGCCTGGGAGAGCTTGGTCTTGCCTTCGATGGGCTTCACTGCCGGTTTCTTCTCCACGTCTTTCTTGTTTCCTGCAGACATGCCAAGCTTGCTGAGACTACTGTGAGTTACGGGTTAAGGGTCAAGCCATGGTAAACCGAGAGAATGTCCTTCATGATCCTAGACATCACCAAGACTGGGGGCCATCCGGCAGTACAAGGCAACAGCAGAATCTCTTTCTAGACTGTTGAAATGTAGACTTCCTCCCTGCCCCGACCTATGAGATGAGGTCTCCGGAGGCCCAGGAATTGATGTTTTTCAAACTCTCTCAAGATGACAACGCATCTGCAACACAGCAGCAGAACCAAGAAGCTGCTTTTAAAAGCATAATCAGCTCCTTTGTACAGGTCACTATTTCACACGTGGTATCAATCCTCAGAACTCGGGGTCTGTCCCGGTCTTTGGTGTCTCCACCAGCCTCCCTCCCTCCCTCCCTCCCTCCCTTGTGCTCACTCTCACAACCTAGCAGGGCCTAAGGATTCCGCCACAGAGAAGTGTTCTGACACAGTGGAGCGCCTAGTTAACGTGCACTCGCCCTTCACTGGAACAATAGCGACATCTAGTGCCCACGGAGAAATCTCAGGAGCGCTTAAGAAAACCAAACCCAGAGCCCCTGACGCATCCCCTCTACAGGACAGAGCAGAACTGTCCCTAGGCTTTCCACAGTTGAACATCTTTATAGGCGTGGTCAGCCTCATCTTTCTCTCACGACACAGCCCATGAGTTTGAAACACCGACCCTGCAGCACTGACAGAAGCCCAATGCTTACTTAGCCCATGGTGCCATGACTCTTACACGTGTTAAGGTGGAGAAATGGAATTCAAAGATAATGTTATTTCCCCCACAAACTTTTGAGGTTTCCTTGTACTATCAGCCCAAAGGGGAGAGGGTGGGAGGTCTTTGGACTCAGCTATTTATCTTTGTGCCTTTGAACAATGGAGAAAGCTGGGCACCAGAAGAAATTTTAATCCTGCAGATCTTCTGTTCTTATGGCCATCAGCTACTGTAAGTAATTACGGTGTTCAAAGGGGATTTTCTAAAATGCTCAGTACTATTCTGAGGTTCATCATTTAATGTTTTTAAGATCCCCATGGAAATATGTTAATACTAACAGATCATTATGAATCAAACTGAAAGAGAGACTTCATCCTTCTAGCAAAGGGTATGAGAAACAACAAACTGACTTTTAGCTGCAAAATCATCATTAAGGGGTAGAAACTCAAAGAAATTTATCTACCTTAACTCTTGAGAAATAAGGCAAAAATGGAAAGAGGTACATTGAAAGCAAAAGCACATGTGTTTCTAATACAAAAACCAACATTTAACTTTGTAGTTTAAAGTGAAGAAAAACACCCAACCCTTTTCTTTTCGGAGGGGAGGAGGTAAAAATGTAATTTTTGATCCATATCCAAAACATAAGCAACTGCCCCTTTGAACTCCCTTCCTCCCCCAAATCCTCTCACACACCCCTCCCTCTCAAAAATGTCCAGGAATTTATCAGATGGAGCATTTTTCATGTATTAAAAGAAAAAGCTTTTAATGCATGATATTGTTAATACTGTTGATTTAACCTAAGTGAGAAGAGAGTTCTGTTTCGTAACGTGCCAGGAGCCACAGCTTATTTGCATTCAGAGGGAGCACACTAGGGTCGCGAGCAGAGGCAAGCACCAGCTCCCAGTTTACAGCTTCCATAAGCAAGGGCCTGACCCCTCTATTCCTATCTCAACAGGTCTGGCTCCTTGAGTGCCTGGGATTAGTACATTATACTAGGTCGGGAGGCCTGCTTCTCATCTGTTTTCCAGACAGTCCAGCTTCCCAAGTTCCCAAGAAAACAGTGCCGTTTCTGAGAATGAGGAGACCACAAGTATCTTGGGAAAAGCAGAGTGAGGAGGTTGGGGTTGGGGTGGCACAGAGATGAGGACTCTGGCCCAGCAAGTGACATGCGGTATGCCTAGTAGACATTCACGCGGATGCCAAAAAGGCCACCCCCTGATCCAAAACAAAGTCACCTTTGCTGCTTTCCCCGCACTTTATAGGGACAGACCACGCTGTGCCTGTAGAGAAACTCTCTTACCAAGGACACAGAAAAATTCCTTTTAAAATCAGATGCCAACCTCTCCCCTGGAGGAGGCTTATTCCACCGCCCACCGGCCTCAGCATCTCATTCCACAAGGACTTTCTCGTCCTGTCTGCCAGGACTGACGCCTGAGTTAGTCCACAAGGGTCTGGGAGTCGGCCACCCACACCGGAACCTGCACAGATCCTGGCCAGCCATGCAGCCCCAGGTGGGGCAGCGATGCTGACAGGGACCTGGAGAAGCCCAGGGATGAGCCCTCGCGGTCGGCCCCCGGCCCTTCAGCACCTGGCGCAGAGAACAAAGGATATCCTGTACTCCTTCAGCTGTTGCAGTTCTTCCTCTCGCCGCTGCCTTTCCAGGAGCTCCTGCTGGCGAGACACCTCATCCAGGAAGCTGGTCTCATCCTCATCTAAGCCTCTGACCATATTTTCTGAGGAAATAATTAAGCAGGGAACGCTTAGCGCACTACAGGGAAAAGAGAATCTGCTAAAATGCTTTCCTTTTCCTGTGTTTAATAAACAGAGATCTTGCAGGGGAGAAGAAAGACTGGTAAGCTCATGCCTTTCGGATACACGAGTAGAACACGGCAGGGAATCAAGGCGCGTCTCGCCATTACTAGACATGAGTGTGGAAGGAAGATGGGTGTCTTGAGCTTTAAACAAAGCATTCCATGTGGAACAGAAGGCAGAGGCTGTTCTGCTAACGAGCATCTGGAGAGGAGCTAATGGGGACAATTCCATGGATAGTGAGAGAAAGGTTTGCATGAGGCCAAAGGACCCCACAAAGGTCTGGCCGAGTGCCCTGGACTCTAGTTTCTGGGCTTACTGAATTTGAACTGCTCCTCATACTCCTGCTGCTTCCGGTCCTTCTGTTCCTGTAGCCTTTCATACAGAGACCGAGGGTCATACGCCTCCTCCGGGCATTCTGAAAGAAAGAAGGAGGGAGTGAGGGAGAAATCAGATCCAACCTCCCAACTGTCAGCCTATTTGGGGAGCACAAAGGGTTCCAAAGATAAAGTCAAGTCTTCTCTGCATGACTGAGGGCAAAGATAGTACAAAAATAGTACTCAAAGTCCAGTATCAGTGCTCGTGGGGTCCATTGCCTGAGCAGCTAACTGGATGACAGACCAGCCCAAACCCTTTGAAGACCAGTGTTCTCATTGTACAGATACCGGCGCTCACGTGACAATCCACAGATCCTACCCCGGGGTAGATGGAACAGCCTAGGAGGAGCTCCTGGGAGACAGAAGGCAAGGGGGTGACTGTCCTGGTTCTGCCCCAGCTACGGAGGCCTTAGAGATTCCTTCACCCCTCTGGGAGTCAGCTCCTCACATCTAAAGGGACATTATTAATATGTACTTTGCAGCGCTGTTACGGTGACAGTTGGTGATGTTATATGCCAAGCTCTAAGAATCCGTACCTTCTGGATCCTCGGGTTTTCGAACTTTTTCCCATTCTTCTTGCCTCCTTTTGCGCCGTTCATCTAGTTCCGCCTCAGAGACAAACTTCTTTTTCATAACAAGGTTGCCATCATCCCCTCCATCCATAATGGAACTAGTTTACAAAAAAAGAAAACAAAACACTTCCAAGTGAGGCTGCAAAATTCTAAAGAGAAACCAGAAGACTGAGCTCTGGGGCACCCAACAATAGACTCGCTCAAAATTCACTCCTTAACTCGAATGGAAGACATTTCCCAGTTGTTTCATTTTTAAACACACAGTTAAGTTTTCACAACGCATCGGGTCGGTTTTATAAGCAGAGTCAGCATGAGAAGACTTGAAATAGTTCTCATTTCATGGTGCTCCAGAATAAATCTCACATCGTAAATATTTCTCTGTCCCTCTTGGGGAAAGTGGCAGGCTGGACACCTCCCTACCCCCATCCTTCTCCCAGTTTCTATCCTCTATGATTTCTGTAACATCTGACATGATTTCTTCTTGAAAATCCTGCTTCAGGGGCAATTCCGCTTGCTCTTACTTCCAAGTAGTTCAGAATAAAGAAGGCCAACTGTTCTAGGAGTTTGAGAACTGGAACATGGCCAGTCTCCACAGTGGGTAAGAGATGTCCAGCGGCACAAACAGCATGAATGGAGAAAGTGAGGCTGGAAAAGCCCAGTTCTCCCAAGTTCCAATTCAAGGTCATGTCCACCAGACTTACGACTTGTCTTTCACCTCCTCCCTGAAAACACCACATCCATGCGGCAGCATAGCATTCTACCTTGAACCCTTCTAGAGCAATGGCAGGGGGCCACTCCCGCCTTCCTCTGGCTTCAGTTGTGAGGTGTCATCGAGTCTGCCCCCACTCAGGGGGACCCTGTGTGCACCAGAAGGAAACACTGCACGGCCCCGCGCCAGCCTCACAGTTGTTCTTCCATTGGAGCCAGGGATGCAGCCACTGCATCAAAACGTCTTGCCGAAGGGCTTCCTCTTTTTGGCTGCCCTCTACTTTACCAGGCACGGTGCCCTTCTCCAGGGACTGGTCTCTCCTTACACGTCCAAAGCACGTGAGACGAAGTCTCGCCACCCTGGTCTCTACGGAGCATCTGGCTGCGTTTCTTCCAAGACAGATTTGGCTTCCATAGAGGAAAGGAAATTCCAACTCCACATCTGCCCAAGGGGTGAATCCTACGAAGCAGAGAGGTCAGACAGGCCTCTCCGCTCCGAACTTCTTTACCTGAGCACCCACAGTACCTCTGTGTGCTCGATTTCTCTGCCTGGTTTGGTCATCTGTTGCAATAGTCACATAGAGCTCACAGACAATACTGCCAATTGTGGGGTTGATTAGCGAAGCTAACAGACTACAAGCCAGAATCAGCAATGTCCAGGATGCACAGAGCCTCTTCTCATCCATGCTCGCAGGTATGTCTCTTTTGCCCTCAGCCTCTCAGCCGCATGGTCCCTTTAACAAAGCTCCTTTACTTAGTGCTGCCAATGCCCACAGAGCATAACCCTGGACTCATTCCGTGGTCTCCATGCTGCTGGCTCTGCCGTTGCCTGTGTCTCCATACAGGGATCTCAGACATGCTCTGCTTGTGGCTCTTCCTTCTAGATGGCTCACTTTATACCCAGCGGGGTGACAAAACTGACCAATCCCTCAATTAGAGCGCTAACCTTATTTGCATGTTTCCAGAGTCATTCGGTGGAAGCTATAAAAACTATGGCTAGAACATTGTCATTCAGCCTAAGGACCATATTATGCCAAGTGACCTTGGGAGCTCGAGACCATGGTCCAAAGCCTCTGGGCCCGTGACTCATTCTCTCTTGGTGTTTTGCTATAGGCAAGAGGTTTTCTATAATTTTGCCCACTGTATGCTCCACTACATTCATGGATATATTTGCTGCAAAGGCAAATATTCATGTACCCTCTGTCAAACCTTAAGTCGGTGGCTCTCAACCTTCCTAATGACGAGACCCTTCTATACAGTTCCTCATGTTGTGGTGACCGCCAAACAATTCTTTTTGTTGCTACTTCATAACTCTAATTTTGCTAGTTATGAGTTGGGCAACCCTGTGAAAGAGTCGTTCAACCCCCAAAGGGGCCATAACCCACAGGTTGAGAACCACTGTCTTAAATATACCCATGGATATAGTCCCACTAACCCTCACAAAAGTTCAGCCTGCCTGTCTCTCCAGGGATCTACTTTCTGTGCCTATATAGCCATAGTCACCTCTGTTGCCTTAACTCTTCCACTCCTACCCTTGCCTCCAATAATTTGTGAGTTTCCCTCTTGCCTTTCCCTTCACACAAGTTAACACATCTACCCTCTAGCCAGTAATTTACCCTCCCTTTACATCCTTCTCCTGGTGACCCCACCAAACAAGGTTTATTTTAGTGTCATAACCTTTTCTCAACTTTTTACAACAGTGGTTTCATACAATAGTTATCCTTTTGTGATTGATTTACCTTGCTCAGCATAATGTCCTTCAGGTTCTTCCATGTTATGAGATGTTTTAATCGTTTTGTTGACATTGCCTAGTATTCCACTCTGTATGCACCACAGTCTATCCATTCTTGCACTAATGAGCATTCAGGCTGTCCCCAGCTTTTGCTACTGTGAAGAGCTCCTGCTAATAACATGCGTGTGCCTATACTTATTTGTGTCAAAACTATTTCTCTAAAAATAAGATCATGCTGGATCATGTGGTATTTCTATATCCAACTTTTAAGGAAGCACCATCTATTTTCCACAATGGTTATATCATTCTATAGTGCCAACAGCAGTGTAGAGCGTTCCAGTCTCTCCATGCCCTAATTAGCGCCCCTGCTTCCTTTTTGGGGTAATGCTGGGGTGAGATATCTCATTGTCGTTCTGATTTACAAGTCTCTAGTGGCTGACGGTCCTGAGCGCTTTCTTCATGTTTGCTGGTCCCCTGCTATCTTGATGCAGAAGATCCCTAAACTCTAAATCTATACACTTCTGCTGAACCTCTCTTCAGAGGCAAATATCAAGAAGTGCCTATCCCTCCTCAAAGTTGAGTTTTTGCTCTTCTTTGCTGGTTTTCGTTCCCCTTTTGCAGAAATGTGGCATTCAGACTCTATTCCGAATAGCTCGTCATGTTACTCACTGCATACTAACAAGGAAGCAGAGTTTGCACTATGAACACATCCACCTCACGCTGACCCCTAGATGACCCCCAGGAACAAAACTGATGTCTGTACAAAAACAGCAAGCTAACATTATGCTCTTACATGAGCTGTGTGCATCTTACTTTATTTACCCCCATGTTAACTAGCCCTCTGAGATGTTATCTCTTTACCAATAAAGAAGTTGAGGCTAGAGAAGCTGGGTCCCTGGTTCAAGGTGATAGGAGTGGTGAATGAAAGTCTACGTGTAACATCGAAATACATACTCTTACCCACTTCAGTAAACTCCTCCTTGGAAACCTCTAACCCTGGATGGAAACAAGGACACGTCCATTCCAGCTCTGTCTACATCACATTCCACTGCTGAAAGCGTTTTGTATAATATTCTTATTTCATACAGAAACGGAAGCTCAGGAAATATAAATATTTACATCAAGAAAACTGTAGACCATTTTGAGAGCTACTAGAAAGAAAATGAAATCAACCAACAGAAGCTGCTGTTCCCTCCTAAAGCCATTCACCTGGACCTTTCTGCTGCAGTTAGCAACGCAAAGGCCTCCAGCCAGAAGCCTATTTACAGATGCAGTCTCTGTGTCCAGGCCCAAATTCCTAAAGTTCTGCAGAATGACCTCTTAGGAAACAAGAGCCAACATTTTCTTAAATGTCGCTGGCACAGAAAATGTGAACGATGTAGGGCACGGAGGGACAGGAAAGAAACACTGACGCTCACGCACTGCTCAGTCTCTATTAACCATAGATAGCTCCATTAGTGATCTTGTTTCCTACCTCCCACACACCACAGGAGATGGTCATCCTGCCCAGATTTTAAACTTTCCAGGTGGACTATTGCAACTTCTCCCAGGTAGCCTTCTTAGAGTAGGTATGAATGCTAGGACACTTCTTCCTTAAACAGAGCTGAAATCGGTCTCCCTATAAATTCCACACCCAGTAGGATGACAAAGAAGGTGCCAAATCCCTCCCAAATTGCTGTTTGTCTGAGCCAGACATCCATAGCTTCTTTAAACTTACAAAGTGGAGGAAATTGGTGTCTTAAAGCTTTAAACTTTTGAAATTATACATTACTTCAGCTTGGGAAATAAATAGGAGGGCATGTCAATATTCCTGGTAGGTATTAAATGCATCTTTTCACTCTGATTACACATTTAAAAAATGCAAATAAACTACTACAATTTCTTTCAATAGGTCAAAATAAAACCTAGACTTCACAAGTGGCCATCTGTAGAAGAATTCAGTGACTTTAAATTTTTTCTTGTACCTCACAATTGAAAAAAAATTTTTTTTCATGGCCTATTGAGTTTTGGGGAAAAGACCAACCTTTCACTTAACTCTAACAAAGATCTAAGATTCCAAGGACTTCTCCCCACAAATCTTCTAGGGGCCATGTCCACAGAGTCTTACATTTGAAGTAGATAAGGATCTGTCCAACATTTCAACACAGAGCAGAATATTAAATTCTTGTGACACCAGACTTTCTGGGGCCATGGAGGTTGGATGGAGCCCTGAAACTACCACACTAAGATATAATCTTTAAAACCTAGACACTTAGACCAGAAATGTCCCTTGAAGTCTTCTTAGAACCAAACAATAGCTTAGCTTATCTAGTTAAAAAATGTGTGCCTCAAGCATGGTTTATGTATTTATTTTTTAATCATTTTATTGGGGGCTCGTACAGCTCTTATCACAATCCATCCACCCATCCACTGTTGTCAAGCACATTTGTACATTTGTTGCCATCATCCTTTTCAAAACATTTTCTTTCTACTTGAGCCCTTGGTATCAGCTCCTCCCCTGCACCCCGCCACCCCCAGCATGCTTCTAAGCTACAACAGCAACTGCAAAGGTTACACAGGAACCCTAAGGAGTGGGCAGTTTATGGTCGGGAAGGAGAAACAACTCAGAAAGGAGGGGAAGAATGGCCCCACACGTCAAAGACTGTCATTAACATCACT